TTACCAGGTGTCTCACCTATACTTGAGTCGAAAGAAATGGAGAGGAGTGAGGGAAGGAGAAGAAGCTCCTCGAATCTCAAATGTAACGATAGCAATAGAACATCTCGGGCGATATCGGTGAAGTTTGATTGCGACGATGAGATGGTGGTTGGATATAATCCTGATGATGAAGAACAGTCCATCAGATAAAAAGTTGTCTTTAATGATAATGACACTATAATCGATAGCAAAAGAGCAGAGTCACCTACTAACATTGACCATTATTATTATTATCAACTAGACGATGTTAGCGACGAATATTACTGTGTATGATTATGTACTGTGTATGATATAACTTCTTCATATCACTTATTATTTATGAATCATAGAACACAGTCTCATAAGATGCTAATAATAATTATAAAGCACAAGTGTGTATTTTTTAAAATTCTAATCAAATAATACTAATAACTTGACTATTATAACAGCAGCAGAAGATTACACACTACAAGCTAAGCTAACTTTGACTATGTATTATAACGTAGCTACATAATGAGTGTCAGCAATGGGAGAAGGCTTAAGTCTGTTACTCCACAATTAAGATCCTAATAGTGTTTGTATTAGCTGGTCCAGGCCTCCAACCACTAAGAGCAATAATGGTTGAGCCTTTCTGTATGACCCCTTTCTTTTTCCCCCACTCAATGGCGTAATGGAACCTCTTCTCCATATCGTCTGCCCAGTCTGATTCATTCTTTGGATGAGGGAAGACCAGTGGATGTATGCCACGATAGAGATGGCACTATGAGAAATAAATAAACTTTAATAGTATACATTAAATGAATGTATCACATTCATGCATGTTTTAAAATATTCATTAGGTTTAAGCATGCATTGGCCATTAAGACATTGTTAAAAATGTAATAAAGGAATTGAGTCACTATGAGGCTCAATTACCCTATGTATCATCAAACCAAGATAAAGCACTTATACAGTTGCTACCCACACTACAACAACGAGCTCTCAAGCCCAAAGACTGACACACACTCTCATAAAACACATCCTGAGAAGTATAAGGACATGGTGTCCTCCACCACAATAGAGAAAACCACATCTTAAAAATACTTTAAAATTCAATTACAATTTAAAATCCTGATAATCATGGGAGTGTGATACATGTTAGTTTATTTGATCACTATGGTCACACATCATGTAATGATCGAGTTACTTTGCTTCTGTAAGGAATCTATTGGCTGAAGAATATATGTTTATACTATGAAACTAGATCAAACATCTGTAATCAATTTATTGCATGCTATCGTCGTCTCTTGCAACAAAAAAGTACCTACGTCTGTTACTGTATTCTTGCAAATCACGCCAGAGGCCATACAAGTACATGTACACAATATCGTACTGTACATGTAGGCACTTACAATGTGAGCGACTTCTCTATCTCTAGTGACTGAAATGATGGGGCAATGAGGACGGAAATGAGACAAATTGAAGGCAGTCCTTTAAAAAAAGAATGCACAATTAATAACAACAATAATAATAACAATAATAATAACAAATACTAGACACATATAATGACATCATAATAGATTTGGCAGGAGAGGAGTGTGATTTTCTTTTACTAAGCATTACTGGCAGAGAGATACCTATATGTTTTTTTATAATCTG